AGGACGAGAAGAGGAAGAGAGGAGGGAAGAGAACGAGAAGAGGAAGAGAGGAGGGAAGAGGACGAGGGAGGAAGAGGAGGAGCGACGACGAAAAGACGACGGGCGAGGGACGAGGAAGAAAACAGAGGAGGAGGACCGCGGGGGGGAGAGGACGAGGAGCGGGACGCAGAGGGGAGGCAGGGCCAGACACCGGAGCGCGGGGGGCGGGGGGGGATGAGGAGGGGCACGAGGTGCAGAGGAGGCCGAGGGGAAGGAGGAGGAGGACAAGGCGGCGGAGAAGGAGGAGGAGGAGGAGGAGGCGGAGAAGGAGGAGGAGGAGGAGGAGGAGGAGGAGGAGGAGGAGGGGAAGGAGGAGGAGGAGGAGGAGGAGGAGGAGGAGGAGGAGGAGGAGGGGAAGGAGGAGGAGTACAAAGAGGAGGGGAAGGAGGGGGGAAGGAGAAGGAGGAGGAGGAAGAGAAGGAGGATGCCAATAATACGAGGACGGGAGGAAAAACAAACGGCAGAGATGAGAAGGGAGAAACGAAAGGTTGAACGGGAAAGGGGAGCGGGAGACCCGAATGGGGAGGGGAAGGAAGGAGAACTGGACGAAATGGGGGGCGGCAGGAGAATGACCAGAGGAGAAGAAACATCGGGAGGAATATCGGGAGGCACAAGGGGGGAGGAGGAATACAGAACACGACGCGGAGGAAAGGAGACAGAGAAAAGAAAAAGTGAAAATAGGGAGAATAATCAAAAGACGAACAGCGAGAGGGAAATAGCGTGGGAGATGCAGCACGCGTCCTCCCCATCGCCTTACACCGCCTCATTCATCCCATCTTCCCGCGGCCCCCCCCCCTCCCCTCCGCCACCCCCCCCTTCCCTCTCCCCAGACCCCCTTGAGTCATGAAAACATCACGACGCTAAGTTTTTCGCTATTTGCGGCCTCCGGGGGCCCTTACCGGCCCTCAGGCCCGTCAAAAAACGATTCAGGATGAAAAGCCGGTCCCGGGGAATGGGTCCGGCCCTCTGGGGGTCGCGTCATGAAAAAATCATGACGTCGGGGGTCTGGGTCCCGTTCCTCCCCCCTCCCCCCTTCCTGCCCCTCCTCCTCCTCGCCAGCTCCAGGGCGCCAAGGGTGCTGCCCTATGACGCCCTGCAGAGAAAACACACCGGAGACCCCGCCGTGCGCGAGGCGACGGGCGCGCCCGGGAGACCGGCCGGCGGGCGCGCCGGGGCCCACCCAGGGGGAAGCCGCCTGGGTCCGGCGCGTGGCGACGGGCGGCCAGGTCCAGCGCGGAGCCCCTGGGATTCCCGGGCCTCGGGTTCAGCGGGGCCACACGGGGCCACATGAACGCCCGGGGTTCTGTTGCATCCTCGGGGAACTGTCCAACCGCAGCCCTATCCGCGTCGAATCCGTGTCGGATCCGTGTCGGACTCGTCGGATCCGTGTCGAATCGGTGTCGAATCCACGTTGAATCCACGCCACATCCACGTCGAGTCGGCATCGAGCCCGCGTCGGGCACCAGAAAAGACACGTATTTGGGGGACAGGCGAGGTCCCCCGAAGGTGCAACGTAAGCCTGGGGGCCTCGCGTGCTCAGGGGGGCAGCACTCCGCGCCTCTGGGCACGACGAGGGAGAGAAGCACCAGCAGTAGAGAGGGGATCCCACCGTCGATCTTCGGCAGGCCCACACAGGCGCCCCGACCGTGCGAGCCCCCATGCTCGACGCTGGGAGGGTGCTAACGGCCCTTTCGGATGCGGTTGGCGCGTGTCCTACCACTCCCCGATGTGTGCCTCTGCAGCTCTTCAACAGCAAACATCGGGACTCCCTGGCCCAGTTTACCAGCCTGGAACATATCCCTATCCCTATGCTGGGCACCTCCTCATCACGATGCCAATCTTGGAGATTTCCTTATTTTTTGAGGGCGAATCCCTAAGATTGTCATCGCCTTTTGGCGTGTCAATCTTAGGGATAGGGATACGTTCGAGGCTGGTAACACGTGGGTGAGCAGCAAACGTTGCCTCCCCTCTTCCCCACTCTCCTCACCCCGCCCCTTCCCCCCCCTTCCACCTGGGGACTTGCAGGGGAGAGGGGCGACTGCGCCGCTCACTTCAGGCCTTGCCGGCCGCGCTCACCCGTATCGTGGACACCGCCGCGGCGGCGGCCCAGCTGAGCCCCGCAGCCAGCACGAACATCGCCGCGTAGCCTCTGCTGCTGCCGCTCCCGCTCATGCTCCTCCCGCCCCTCTGGCCATCGATCGGACGTCCATTTCCTGTGTTTTTGTTGGTTTCGTGCGTGGTTTTTCGCCAAATGATCAAGGATGTTCCTCGATGGTCCTCGCCGAAGGAAAAATGCACACGTCCGAGCGATGCCAGGTCCTGGTGATGTTCCTCTGCTCCTCCTGCCCTTCCTCCTGCGCTTCGCTCCGTGGAGGCACCACTGGGCGACAGTGTCGGACAAAAAGCGCCCCTGCGTGCTGACGAAATTCTGGGTAGTCGAAGCCAATCTGGCGCCAATCTGGCAGGCCCAATCTGGCAAACGGGGGCCATCTGGCGAGGGAGCCAGCGCGAATCCAGTCTGGCGAAGAACCCAAATCCTCCAATATGGCCGGGCCCGATTGACCCTTGGGGCCCAATCCAGTCTGACAGTCTGGCCTTCGACTACCCAGAAGTTGCTGTCCGCATGCCGCCGTGCGCCAGCTGGGCGCCCGCCTCCTGTCTCTGCTCTGCTCGGGTGGTTCCTGGTGGGTGCCGCGCCTTCTGTGCAGCAGCTCCCCCTCCCCCTCCTCCTCCTCCTCCTCCTCCTCCTCCTCATCCCCCCCTCCTCCTCCTCCTCCTCCTCCTCCTCCTCCTCCTCTCCTCCCCCCTCCCCCTCCTCCTCCCTCCTCCTCGACCTCCTCCTCCTCGACATCCTCCTCCTCATCATCCTCTTCTTTCTCCTCCTGATCCACTTCCTCCTCCTCCTCCTCCTAATCCTCATCTTCCTCCTGCTCCTCCTCCTCCTCCTCCTTCTCCAATCCTTTTCCTTATACCATCTTCCTGTCGCACCCCGAGGCAATGTTTGGGGGCGGGCTAGGCGTATTTCACGGGACTTCCTCGTCAGTTATATCCCTGGATCTCAAGCCTGGCAACATATTCACAGATGGAGGACGGGCCTGTTTCAAAATATGGCTTTCTCCTTAGCGCCCACCACGATCGTTTTATAGACATGTATAAGAGCTTCACGGATGGAGGGCGGGTCTTGTTCAAAAGGCGGCTCTCGCCTGAGCGCCGCTCACATTCGTGGTAAAACTTTGCAAGGATGTCATGGGTGGGGGGCGGGCCGTTTTCAAAATGTGGCTCTCGCCTGACCGCCGCGCACTTTCGTTTTAAACATTCACAAGAGCTTCGCGGATTGAGGGCGGCCCGTTTTCGACATGTGGCTCTCGCCTTAGCACAGCGCACATTCGTTTTCAAACTGCGCGAAAGCTTTACGGATTGAGGGTTATTCCTTTTCAATACGTATGTGACTCTCGCCTTGGCGCCGCGCGCATTCGTTCTTCCAGAAGTTGCAAGAACTTCCCGGACTCCCATGATCAACGTACCAGAAATACTGCGTTGGACGGAACAGGATTATGAGGCCGCAACAAATACGTTGATTCGCGGTGTTGAAGTCCCAGGAATGGCGTTTGGGCACGACTCAGAATCGTCAAAGCGCAACAGTCAGGTTGATGTGTGGCGTTGGAACCCCGAACACAATGTTTTGCCATGCGGTTGTCTTCAAGCGGTTGTCTTCTCACGAGGGAGTCCCCCTCAGTGGAAATGACTCGTTGCAGGGGCCCATGAAGAGGGAACGTAGAGGGAGGGTTTAATTCAACATCGTTGATGTCTCTTGGGTTTACACTGGTCCTCCTCCTTCTCTTCCTCGTCCTCCTTGTCTTCATCCTCGTCTTATTCCTCGTCCATATTTCATCGCCTCCTCTCCTCCCCCTCCTCCTTACTGTTCCCCTTCGCGTCGCCCGCCCCGATCCTCTCCTCCTCTCTTTGAAATCCTGTTACGTGCGCTTGCCAATAGCAGCGTGGGGCGCAAGGCTGGACTGACTGCTCCTCCTCCTCATCCTCCTGCTCCTCCTCCTCTTTTTCCTCCTCCAGCTCCTCAGCATCATCATCATCATCATCATCATCAGAGTCTCTTCTTCCCAAGCATCATCATCCTCAGCATCAACAGCATGATCACCACCATCCTCATCATCACCATCACCATCATCATCGGCATCACCCTCATCATCGCCACCAGCACCTTCAGCATCCTCATGACCAGCAGCACCACCACACACATCATCACCACCTTCATCACCAACGCGCATCCTCGACACCATGGCGGTCCTTTTTATCGACAGACGCGCGCCAGAGCGTCATACGTGTTCTTTGGCGCAAAACTCACGTGGCCCACCCATACGGCCCGCGCCATCCTCAAACAGCACGCGTTTTCCGAGATGGCAGGGCCAACGATGAGCAACCATTCGTGATCGCATCGTGCCCCGCCAGGCCAAGGCCACTTGGTGCCCCCACCTATCATCGGACACCCCGTCGGGCCGCGACTGGCAGGAACAGGGGCCAACGCCGCCCCGAAGGGCCGCGACCCATGGCCATACGAGGAGCGCTGGACCTACCCGCCTGCGGCGAAGTGTGGGCGCCACTGGGGTCTGCTGAGCCTCCTGGAGCCAATGCGGCCCACCAGGGCCGGTCTCCGAGACCCCAACGACACGCTCTCCACGAGAGCGGGGCGGGGAGCTTCCCAGGAACCAAACAGGGCATGCAACTTCCGAAAGGGAGGAGGATTATGAGGAGGAGGAGGAGGAGGAGGAGGAGGACGAGGAGGAGGAGGAGGACGATGACCGATGCCCACGTCACAAGGCCGAACCGGCGGGGGCATGGCTTCGGGGGCATTCATGGGGGGGGCAACTGGGCCCAAAGAGCAGGGGAGAAGCCGTCGCGCCACGCGCTGCTCCCCCGCCATGCCCCGAAGAGGAGGATGAGGAGGAGGAGGAGGAGGCGGAACGGGAGGCGGGGGCGGAGGCGGAGGCGGAGAGCTGTGGCGCGCACGCACCCCACCCACGCGGCCCGCACCCTCCTCGCAACCGCCGCTTCAGCTTGCAATTCGGAAGCCATGTTCACACGCGTCTTCCGAGCTGGCAGGGTCAACGACGAGCAACCACTGGCGATCGCATCGTGCCCCGTCGGGCCAAGGCTACGTGGCGCCTCCACCTATCATCGGACACCCCGTCGAGCCGCGACCAGCAGGAACAGGCGCCAACGTCGCCCTGCAGGGCCGCGATCCTCTGCAAAATGACGGGCACTGAACCTACCCGCCCGCGGCTAACGGTGGGCGCCACTGGGGTCTACTGAGCCTCCAGGGCCAACGCGGTCCACCAGGGCCAGGTGTCTGAGAACCCCGACGACACACTACATGAACGCGGGCCTTTCAACACGTATAGTTTGTCGGGCATGTCCCCCTACAGGCGGATGTTGTGCGAAACATGAAACATGGACAGACATATGCAAAAACAACAAAAGCAGGCAAACAACAATCGTCCCGTGACTGTTTAAACTGTTGTGGGGTAATCCTCCTGTAGACGTACAGGCCCGACTTAATTCTAGCTATTCCAAAACCTCGATACCCGCCCTCTTCGTCTGCGATCGTGACCCCTCTAAGGACATATCTTCCCTACCTGCCGCGTGCATTTAGCGCAGCCCCTCAAACAGGGGAAGGACCAACTGATGGAAAGGGGAGGGAGAAGGAAAAAGGATGGAGCACGGGATTAGCAAGATGGGGGTTCGGAGCAGGAAGCACATGGCAGAACCAGACGGGCTGATCGGACAGGTAGACCCTAATAGGCGGGTCGGGAATGCGGGCCCAAACGGCCAGGTCGAGCAGGCGGAATGCTGAAGCGTGAGTACTGCATGAATCGCGAGAGGTCGCGAGCGATAGCGCGACTCCCATCTGAATCGCGAGCGAAAACCAAAGCGAAAGCGTGATTCCTAAGCGTCGAGGGCGCGGCGTTTGAAGAAATTCAGAGAAAATCACACGAGAGCGCGATTCCTGCATTAACTGTTAAAAAGTGCCGGGGGCGAGCGCGATTTCACAATAATAAATGATGGAATATCAGGCGGGAACTATTGTTGGTGTAACACGGGGCCAGGGGACAACTTTTTTTTCTCTTGGCCAGCGTCTTCGCGCAGCACCTGTCTGTAACACTGCAAACTATGTGACAGAAGTATTGTAAGGTATTCAATCTCTTTCCGAGAGCAGGCCAGCGCGATGCCTTCGCGACGGCGGGAGGCGGGAGGCGAGAAGGGGGGAACCAAGGAGAGTCGAGGAGGGAGGGAGGAGGGAGGAGGGAAGGAGGTGGTGCCCTTCGGCGCTGCTTTAAAAACGGGCAGAGATGGCCCGACAATTGCAGAAAGTACCGGCTTACAACTGGTAGTAGGTGTCCAGTGCTGCATATTGGGGAATATGTCTTATAGTCCCCAGCCTAATGGCACAAAATCGGCACAGGGTGCCACGCTGCCACCAGAATGTAGGAAGGTGGGTTCCACTCGCCTTTGAAACCGTTACCGTATCACGTCGTCCTCTGTGGAAAAACATGGTCGGCGAGGTTGCCTCACGCGGGGAAAGAAGAGTGGATGCTCAAGACACAAGGTCTGAGGCTGACAGTGGCTGCCCGCGCCACATTTCTCAACGGTGGCGACCATTTAGCGGGCTGGATCAAAGTTCACAAGAGCACCTTACTGTGTCTAGGCTGTACAATGCACAAAAAAAAGGCTGGCGAATCCATCCAGGCGGCGGGCGACGCCACTCATCGTTGCTTCCCTGGTCCGTGGTCCCCACCCCTCGATCCATAGCTTCACCTTCCCTGGGAAAACCGCCGAGATGGTTGTGGGCGCCGCAGCCGCGCCGCGCTCGCACGCACCGGCATACGTAGAGTATTGGGCGTCACGCGCACTGCTTTGGGGAAGATCGCTTTTGCAACACCCAGCTTTGTGGCACACAGTCACAGCGGGTACTATTCGGCTTGGGGCGCCGTGATTTTACAAAGTCTCCCCAGCCTGCTCTGAAATCGAAGCCCTATCTCGATTATCAATGATTCCTCTTTCTCCGCTTCCTCCACCACCTCCACTTTACCCTGCCCTTCCCCCCCCCACCCCCTCCCCGCGGGGCTGGTCGTCCGGGCGCCACCTTGTCCGCCCTGGTGGATCAAATATTCTCGGCGCCCTCCTTCACCTCCAGGTCGTCGTTCTTCTTCTTGTTCTCGATCGGCACCGTGAACTGCGCCTCGATCTGGGAGAGGGTGAACATGGGCGCGAATATGCCGCAGAGAAGGTCCGTGGCGATGTCGCCATGCTCGATGAAGTGCTTCACGCGCATGTGGTTGCGGAGCAGGCCAACGAAGGTACCGAACCCGATGTAGAACGTGCAGCCGATGAGCGCCCATTGGTAAAGGGCCGCAGTACAGATGGTGACAATGATTGCCATGTAGTACAGCAAAGAGAAGGCGCCCATCCACAAGCCAAACGTGACGCCCGGACCGAGGCCAGAGAAAGGCCATTTGCCGACGTGCACCACAGCCCTGCCCATGGTTAAGCCAGGCACGGCCGTGTTCTTCAAATGAAGTACGATATTCTTCGCGTTGAAGATGAACGTTGAGAAGGCTTTCCGGTTAGGGTCGAGCCCACCGTTCTCCTCCTGGCACAAGATCACGAGCGACTGCGAGCACCAAAACATGACAAATGTGTAGGGCAGGCCCGTGATGATGGACGCCGCCTGGAGGGCCTTCAGAGCAGCGTCTGGATCTTTGGCGTTGTTGCCAGAGTACAGCAAGGCAATGGCGGTGGCCCCTTCTGTGAAGGACCAGAAGACGCGCTGAAACACGGGGGGGTCTGGGTGGCCGTTGGAGGAAAGGATGTCCACCACGAACGATCCAGAATCCGACGAGGTCACGAAGTAGAACGTCAAAATCATGAGCGTGAGCGCGCACAGCATGTCGGAGTAGCCCCGCGGACCGTACGAGGAGATCTGGTCGAAGAGGATGTCTGCCGTAGCCTGGTTGTACAGGCACACGGTACCATCCTGGAGAGGCACGAAGCAGTCCGGCTGGCTGGTGTTCGGGAACTGGTCGTAATTGTCAGCGGCCAGCTCGTTGATTTCGGTCATGTACTTCTCACACTCAGTACCTTCGTATGCCGATATGTCGATTGCGGTAGGATCGGGTTTCGCGCCGCACGGCACTTCCTCCCACGAGGTATGCTTAACGCACTGCTTGCCCTTTCCGTCTTGGGAAGGATCCACGTACCTGGTGAACTTCGCCCTCTTGCACCTGCCGTATCCGCCGTGGTAAGTATCGTCCAGCACGCACCCGGGGGTCCAGCCCATGCTCAGATTCTGCTTATCCGTCAGAGTGTACTGATCAGACCAGGACGATCCCCCACCGTAAGCTTGAGAGCACAGGCCCGCTGAGTCTGCCATGCGCTGCATGCGAATGCCCTCGGTGCCCCACACGCAGAACCAGACAATGCTGTAGAGGGTGGGCACAATGAGCGTGGACATGATGAAAACTCGAAGGGTCCTGCCTTTGGAAATCCTCGCAATGAATGTGCCAACAAACGGGCCCCAAGAAATCCACCATCCCCAGTAGAAAATGGTCCAATCAATGATCCACTTGTTTCCGCTAGTGCCAGAACCACCGAGCCCCATGTCTTTGGAGCCGAGACGCTCCCAAGCGTCGCAATGGAATCCAATCTTCACGATGTACCACAAGTAGTAACCAGTAACCTGCACAATGTTGTCCAGAATGAGGTAGGTCTCGCCGTTCAACGCCACGACAAGCATTAAGAAGGTCCCCATTGCGAAGACGCACTGTGAAAGGAACTTGATACCAGAGCCGAGGCCCATCACCACCGACACTGTCGACATGCAGGTGATGATCAGGATGATGAGGATCATGGTCGTCGTGTTTCGTTGGATGCCGAACGATTCCTGACCATCATCACAGGAATATCCCTGGCCACCACATCCAGGAACTGAATACTTGTCCTCGTTCGGGATGGCAAAATTCTCCCCGTGGTGAGTCCCCCAGCTGAGGCGCTGCAGGCCAGCGTTGATCGACATGGCGCCCAGTCCGAGGGACGTGCAGACGCCTGCGATAGAAGTCACGATGGAGAGGGCATCCACGGTGTCTCCCATCCATCCATAAACGTTGTCGCCAATGAGAGGATAGAACGCGTACCGGACGGTCATTGGGTATCCACGCCGGTAAGTCATGATGCCAAGCGTAGCCCCCATCACCACGTAGGGGATCCAGCCATGAACGCCCCAGTGGAAGACGCTCACCATCAGCGCGTGCGTCGCGTCCTCGTCCACGTTGCCGTAGCCCTTGACCGTGGAGAGGAACCTTGGGGAACCCCAGCCTTTGAAGTGCCACATCGGCTCCGCAACTGCGTAGTAGAACAGGCCTGTGGCGACACCGCAGCAGAACAACATTGAGAACCAAGTCGCAGTGCTGAACTCCGGTTCATCGTCGTCCTTTCCGAGCTTCAGCTTACCGTGCTGGACCATAGCCCAGAGCAAGACAATGACCCAGATGTCCTGCGAGACGATGTAGAACCATGTCCACACCTCAGGGATCCAGCCCCAGGCGACTTCGTCCATAGCGAACTTCATGTAGTCTGGCTCAACGCAGCAAAGGATCACGAAGACCCACAGGAAGATTGTCGAGCAAATGAACACGAGGGGATTCATCACGACGACCCCTTTCATCTCAAAGTGCCAGCACTTCCTCATGTGCGCTTCCGTCTCTGGCGGGGCCTCCTCATACTTGCAAACCGATGCCAGCGCTGCCATCTCGGCACGACGTTCCGTTTGCAGAGAGCACGCTCCGAACTGGAGAAGCTTGAGCCGCAAATTGCTTGAGCCAGAATGGCTTGAGCCAAAATGGCTACGGAACGGGGCCAGGGGACAACTTCGGCCAATTGTTGAACTCATAATAAAACAGTGAACGAGCCCTGGGGGGAAACAAACATGTCACCAGGGGGAATAAAATGTGCGCCGGAAGGGGGGGGCATCAACAATATCTTTGTTTTCCAGCAGTTATAATTCAACCGTAGCAGCACCATCGCCAACAACAACGACAGCAACAAAACAATTTCAAGACTGTTCGATCATATGCTCTCGGGTGCCATTCAACACGTCTATCCCGAATCCTCTGTACCCGCCCTCTTCGATTCGATCGCCCCCCCGTTTTGGGTATATTTGCATGGCTTGCCACGCGCATTTTGCGCAGCCCCTAAAACAGGGGAAGGGAGAACGGATGGAAGGGGGAGGGAGAAGGATGGAGCACGAGAGACATCAGCAGGAAGGGGGCCTCGAGCAGAAATGACGTAGCAAAACCAGGTTGGCAAATCGGGCGGGCAGACCTTAAAGGCCGGGTCGAAAAGTGGGCCCAGGCGGCCAGGCCGGAGAGGCTGGATGCTGAAGCGTGCGTCCTGCATACATCACGAGGAAGTCTCGAGTGATAGTGCGATTCCCAAACAACTCATGAGAAAGGCCTGAGCGAGAGCGTTATTCCTGAGTGTCGAGGGCGCGGCGTCTGAATACATTGCGAGGCAGTCCCACGCGAGAGCGCGATTCCTGCATGCATTGTCAGCCCACGTGAGAGAGCGACTTTGGCCGACAGGGAGTGGGGGGCCCCTTCCCCCCCGACGCACGGGGCATTTTTTTACTGCGGCCAAGCGTGGGGAAGTGCCGCCAAAGCGGCCACCCGAGGAACGCGGGGGGGGGGGCGAGGGGGGGCGAGGCCCGACACGGGCCCGGCCCTCAGCCCCCCCCCACCCCCCCACGCGGAAGACACTGGCCCCTGCATCAGCGTTCGTCAACAGGGGGCACCTGGGCCACCAGCTCGGGTCGGCATTCACACATTTCCCATCCGCGGCCATGCCGCTGCGCTTCTATTCCCACCCCTTTCCCTAATTGATCCGCGACCATGCCGTTATGATTCACATGGCTTGCCCGCGCGCGCGGAGCCACCCGCCTCGGCGGTAGTTCGGCATGCATTGGTTACGCGCGCGCGGATGCCGCCCACCTCGGCGGCGCGGGGGGGCCGCCCAC